GGAGCCCGATGCGGGACTCGATCCCAGGACCCTGGGATCATGACCTGAGCCGAAGGCAGACGCTTAACCATCTGAGCCACCCAGGCGCCCCGAGGCTGTTAATTCTTGTTAAGGAGTATGAGAAGAAGATTCCTTATAGAAGAAAGCTTAAGTGAGGTTTCAGCCACAATCCATTTGTTTTGTTGATAGGCAGTTTAAGAGTATTTGTATATTTTGGTTTGCTTTGAAATCTGTTTAAAAGCCCATGAAGAGCTGGGGCGCCTGGGTGGCTCATTGGTTAAGTGTCTGCCTTCGGCTCAGATCATGGTCCCAGCGTTCCAGGGAGCCTGCTTCTCCCTCTCCCCCTGCTTGTGTGCTCTCTCTTTCTGTTGCTCTCTAATAAATGAATAAAATCTTAAAATAAATAAAATCTTAAAAATAAAAACAGATGAAGGGGCGCCTGCGTGGCTCAGTCGATAAGTGTCTGCCTTCGGCTCAGGTCATTATCCCACATCGGGCTCTCTGCTCAGCGGGAAGCCTGCTTTTCCCTCTCCCACTCCTCCTGCTTGTGTTCCCTCTCTCACTGTCTCTCTCTCTCTGTCAAATAAATAAATAAAATCTTTATTAAAAAAAAGCAGATGAAGAGGAATGAGAAGTAATTCAATAAAGTTTCTTAGCAAGTAATTGTTGGTATTTGTGGGATTTTCATTATACAACCTGTTTTTGTAGCGACTAGTACTTATTTCACTAGCTGAATGCTACTTGAGAGGAGCTTGATTTTAGAATCTTTTGAAGTGGAATTAAACCATCAATATATCACTCATTGATTCCTAGAAAACCATATTTTTATTATGGAATTTAAGATTAATGGGTTTTAAATAAACTAGTAGATTTTATTTATTTTTAAAATATTTTAGTTTTAGGGAGGGAGAGTGCAGCTGACCGTGGGGGGAGGGGCAGAGGCAGAGGGAGAGAGAGGGAATTTCAAGCAGAATCCATGCTGAGCATGGAGCCTGACGCAGGGCTCAGTCTCACCACCCTGAGATCTTGACCTAAACCAAAACCAACAGTCCAACGCTCAACCAACTGAGCCACCCAGGCACCTCAAACTATTAGATTTTAGAATGTAAATTTTCATTTATCAGTTAACTAGAGAAAAAAAATGAATAGTTCTGTGAATATTAGAGTGCTAGGGTTTAAGTCAATATCTAATGCCCGCATTTGTTTCAGAAAGTGTCCAAATAGAATAAGTAGTAGAAAATATAAGCTGTGGAAATGTTTGAATTATTTTAGGTCATATTATTTATTTGCTCTGGTCACCACGGGGCCAAAGCGAGTGTTAGATCATTCTGAGGGTTCCTAAACCCGTAGAAATGGGGGTAGGGGATAATTTTAATTTTAAGAGTAATGCCTGTGTTTTTCTAGTGTGTTTCAGAATACCTGAGGGATGTTTCCAGGGGGTGTGGCATCAAGTTGGAAACTGTAGTTATTGTATCTCCATCTTGGAAATTCCTAATCTACATAAGTTTATTAAAGGTTCAGAACAGTTAGGAGTCTGTTTAATTCAGTGTTTCTTAAACTTGTTTGTTGGAGTCCTCCCTCCCCCTTTTTTTTCCTGCTCCTTTAAAGTTTTGGGAAAATGAACTGGGAGGCATGGTGTCTGGTGGTTTATTAATCTCCATTAGATTCAAGGACTGTTGGTGTGGCCAAACAATGCTTGCTATGGATAGAAAAATGGGAACGATTTTCTCAAGTTCCTGAGGCACGTGAATGGTAGAGACAGAGACTTCAGCAGAGGCCATGGATAATCTGTTCTCGGTTTATTAAGCCCCACTCAAGAGGTGTTGCATAGAAATTGCTAATTTGCAATTTCTTGGGATTGAACCGAGTATGTTATTTATAAAACACATCTTTGGGGTCTCTGGGCAAGTAGCTCCATCTCAACTTAAAACTGGGGCAAGACATTGGAAGGGAGAAGCAGACCAATATTAGGAACTGGAGAAGTGATTGTCCAGTGGCTGCAAGTGAATTCTCTGAAATGGAGGTCACGATCTCCAGTTTCTTCTGTTCTTGGATCAGTGATCCTAGTTAAGAGTATTTTACTGTTTTCCAATATTCTGAAAAGCTTGCAGTTATTTCAAAGCCAACATTTTAATGTTCTGATAGTCATAGAATTCATAACTGTTTTATTATTATTTTTAAAAAAGATTTTACTTATTTATTTGAGAGAGACAGACCGAGACAGAGAGCATGAGCAGGGGGAGGGGCAGAGAGAGGGAGAAGCAGACTCCTTGCCGAGCAGTAGCCGGATGTGGGGCTCGATCCCAGAACCCTGAGATCCTGATCCAAGCTGAAGACAGACGCCTAACCGACTGAGCCACCTAGGCACCCCCTGAAAGTCATAGAATTCATAATTGTTTTATTTGTGATTCAAAGAATTTCTATGATGTTTTTAAAAAATAATTGTTCACATATATGAGAAGTTAAGTTTTTTTAGGAGCTGGTACAGTAATCTATGAAGTCTTTGTATTTTACCATTTGACATTTCTTTTGCTTTCTCTGCCTTGTCACACATACTCCTCATCCCTGCCCCCAAGAAAACTCCTACCTCGGATCCTATCTTTTAGATGAATGTTTTTTTTTTCATGTTGCACCTATTACGTGGCAGTGAAGGTATATTCTCCTAAAAACTTGTCCGTGGTTCTAGTTAAATCAGAGTCAGGAAAAATCATTTCATTTATACCAGAGATGGGAGAGAGGGGAAAGATATAACTAGTTATAACTTTATATATCCAGGTCAGGTTTAGATACTTAGGTTGGGCTGTGGTATTTCTTTAAAAAAATTACTATTTTTCAGTAATTTGAGTACATTTTCTTCAGGAGCAAGATTAATTCATGTCCTGGATGTGACCTGTGTTAAAGATACGAAAGTTTGTTTTCTGCTGAAACCAGATTCTTTACCTCTGCTACTTTCATTTGGAGAAATTAATATCATTTTTGCTCTTATAAAATATAAATCTGTCTCTCTTGCTTTCAGTCTCTATTTTTAATATGAAAATGAGATGATTTTTTACAAATATTTAAAAAAACACCAAGTAAAAATTTTTCTAAAAAAAGAAACAATACATAGGAGCACCTTTTAAAATGGATTAATTAATGCTAAAGATTTTTATGAAGACCTAAATCCTAGAGATAATTTTTTGGCAGTTTTGTGATTCCTTAAGTTCATTATACACTTTCAGTTAATTTAAATCTAAGTGAATTGTTCCAAAATTAGACTAGATATATTTTCATTATCTAAAACTACTGAGTGTAAGATGTACATTAACTATTTCACATACAGTTGCAGTCACAATGTGATACACCTAATTCTTAGGAATGCTGCTTTTTTAGGAGGTTTTTTTTGTTGTTGTTTTTGGTTTGTTTGTTTGTTTTTTGCTAGCTTAAAAGTTGGTAGAATTGGGCATTCCCAGAACAGAGGACAGAGTATTCCCCGACAGTAATACTGGGTAGCTTCAAACACTTGGTGTTAGCTACTCCAGCTGGTTCAGGTTGTGGACTTGCCTTATACCTTAGGAATATGAGTTTTCTCTTCAGAAGGGTAGCAATTAAATTTTTGTTTGCTTTTGGTTCTTTACCCAGGTAGTAACAGAAGAGGGTTTAGGAGCCTAGAGGACCCGTTAAAGGGGATATTCTGAATACAAAGAACATGTTTTTTGACCTGCTGCATCATTCACCCATACTATCCTATTAATTTATGAATTCAGCAACTCTGAGTGCCTGCTCTGTGTCAGTCACTGTTCCAGGGGTTGGGGATAAAGCAGTGGATGAAATAGGTCCAAACAAATCTGTGCCCTCTTGATTTACATCATAGTTTGGAGAGAAACGAAGGGGCGGATGATCAGGGAGGGCTGGTGGTAGGGTACAGTGGAGTGGTTCGGAGTTTGATAGAACTTGGGCTGCAGTTTAAAATTAGAGGAGGGCTGCCTGGGTGGCTCAGTGGCTTAAGCATCTGATTTTGCCTCAGGTCATGATCCTGGGGTCCTGGGATCAAGCCCCACATGAGGCATGAGCCAGGAGCCTGCTTCTCCCTCTTCCCGAGTTCTCTATCAAGTAAATAAAAATCTTAAAAAAAAAAAAAAATAAGGTAGAGG